AATCTGATGAATTATGATTGTACATGTATCATTTTGATGCCTAACTTGTGCACAAACAAATGGAAAATGGTTTATATTGAATAGGCATCTAATTGTCCCACGGCCAAAGCGTGCCATATCTCTTCTTGTTTCTCAGTTTTTTGCAGCAGCTAAAATGAGTAGCTCACTGGCATTTTTGTTTCATGAGTGTCGCTCACCAGAGGTTGGAGACCCCTGTCCTAGATTATATTTAAAACAGGACAAAAGTAAAGTAAAAGTAGTAAAGCAGTATTTGTGTAAAACTTTTCTATGTTAATCCATAGAAAAGTTTTACACAAATACTAAAAGTATTAGTAGTAAATACTAAAGCCTCTTGGAGTGGACAAACATCTTCAACTTGGAATCTGGTCCAAACCCAGAAAAAGTCTCAGAGAATGGGACAAGGACTCCCCCTGCTGGCACACACAGAAAGTTTCCATGTGATGAAGAGAGACGTGAGGGAAGAGTCTGGAGAAGTTGTGTGGACTGGCTTATTATGCTTTTTCAGGTAACAAGACCAAAAGTACAACATCATTTTCAGTGTTGGGGAGTAATAGATTACATGTACTGGAGTTACGTAATCAGAGTACAAATTATGAGTAACTGTATTCAGTTACAGTTACTGTTTTAATGAGTAGTAATTGGAATAAAACCAGTGTCTAAACCAGGTCTAAACCTGGTCTAAACTAGGACTAAACCAGGTCTAAACCAGGACTAAAACCAGNTCCTCGTCTTCTATCAATAATATTTTTAATACGGTTAAGGAAAGTCTGGGCTTTTTATTTTCTTTTAGCAGATAAAACTTCTTATGTGAAGATTTCCTCGTCTTTGCTTCTCTACAGCAAATCAAGTAATCCAAAGTATTCAGATTACATTACTCACTTTAAGTAATTTAATGAATTACGTTACAAACTACATTTTGGGGTATGTAATCTGTAATCTGTAGGGGATTACATTTTAAAAGTCACCTTCCCAACACTGGTGACAGATACTTTTCCTAAGTTTGCTGAAGAGCAGGTAGATCTTATTTGAAGTAAAGTAAACTCACAAAGTGCAAACTTGTCTCCCTTTAGCAATAAAATGTCACTTTTCTACATTGTTGCTTTGCCAGGAATGTTCCACACTATAGCATTAACCTTTATATATCCATCTATCTAGTACACAATTCTAGGTATTTTTCTTGGACAGAACATCTAGAAAAACATCGATCCTTACTGTCAGCTATCTCACTTCTCTACAGATCTGACCTGTAACTTATCCTGGTTACCAACAGCTTGTTGTCATGGAAATAGACACGTTCAATGCCGTATACAAGCAGGTGGCATACCCTTGACCGGAAAAGTTACACAGTGCAGCTTTACATTTAAAAAGTCTAAAAGAAGAAATTGTCTGATTCTGATCTTGACCAAAAACTACTCGATAGATTTTCACACGAGTGCAGTGGTCAAGAGGCAGAGGCATGTTCGGACGGTCAGCAGAATCCCAATTACCCCCACCCGCCCCCACCCCGCCCCGACCCCACTCTCAGGGTTATTTAAAGACACCCCCACCCACCAACTCTCCACCTGTTGCGCCCCTCTCCAAATTTGTTGATTAGGTGCAGAGCTTTTCCAGAGGAGATTTCGAGTGGATTTTGGATTTAGTCTTTGGGTAAATCTGATATTACAAAAAACTGTAAAAAAATAAAATAAAAAATCTAATTGTACCTTGTTTTGGGGGGTAAAAAAGTTCAGGAAATAAGGCTTAAGAAAACTATTTTATATAACTTCTAAAAAAATATACTGCAAAAATGGAAACTGGTGGCCGTAAAGTGGCACGTGTCAGAAAAGCACGTTGAGAAAACAAGTTCAAATTCTCCATATAAACCTAAACTTGGAAGTTGATTACAAATATTAAAGGAACTGTATGTAGTCTGCACTCTTACAGTTTTAAGAAGGTCCCACAATCACATCTGAACCTGTGTCTCTGGAGTTTTAACCTGCAGATAGAGACACATCCAAGTTTGTCTCATTCTCAGTTTTTGTTCAGGTCCCATGAGCTGCAGAGGCTGCACTAGCACTGATGCAGGTGCTGGGGTTTAGGTAGTGACCATTCATATCAGAGAGGCATTTTAGGTTTAAACCAGCACTGGAACGAAAGAAAGATGTCCAATGTCTGAAAGTTTGGACTGCTCACTAGCGCTCTTCCTCAGAGTCACGTGATGTTGTTGTGTCGTGTCGCTCAGCTGATTTGAACAGGTTTTGGCGCCGTCTTCCTACTGGTGGAGGCAGGACGACAGCGCCACCTGCAGTCCCACTTCCTCAGGACAGTATCCCAGGTGTGTGAGAGTAAAAAAAGCCCCTCGTCCCGGTTTATCGTCCCGTGGGCACGTTTCTGTATTTCGATTGCCTCTTTAATCCAGCGTGGATGTTTGTTTTCCTCTGTCCCAGTGATGTTTAGTCCATCCCAGTCCAGAATGTGCTTCTCTCTTTTACAATGGTCAGAAATGGCCAATTTGAGTTGTTCCTGGTCTGCTTTGAGTTTTGTTGCTCGTGTGCACACCTTCGCAATCCGTGTATCATTCCTTCATTCGTTTTTCAATATAAAACCAAAAATAAGAAAATGAAAAAACAACAATTTTCTTCATTATTTGTCTCCAAAACCAAAATGAAAAAACGGATAATGATTAGTTTTTTCAGTTTTTGATTTGCGTTTAAATGAAGAATGGAAAAAAAACGATAACGGCGTTTCCCGTTTACGTGACTCCCGTGATTGTGATGCCGAACTTTTGCGCTGCATACGGACTGAACCAGGACTGATCCAGGTCCGGGACCAGACCGGGACCAGGGCATGACTGAGACCGGGACCAGACCGGGACCAGACCGAGACGGAGATCAGAACTGAAACCGGGACCAGAATGGGACTGAGACCGAGACCAGGCCGGGACCAGACCGAAGGCTCAGAGCCCACAGCAGGACCAGAGCTCGAAGCTGAGGCTCGGACCTCGCGGAGGCTCAGAGTCAAAGCTCGGAGTCCACCCTGGTCCCGCTCTGGTCCTGGACCTGGATCAATCCTGGTTCAGTCCGTATGCAGCGCAAAAGTCCGACATCGCAGTCACGGGAGTCACGTAAACGGAAAACGGCCGTTATCTGTTTTTTCCATTCTTCATTTAAACATAAAATCGAAAACTGAAAAAATGAATCGTTATCTGTTTTTTCATTTTGGTTTTGGAGACAAATCATGAAGAAAACTGTTGTTTTTTCGTTTTCTTATATTTGGTTTTATATTGAAAAACGAATGAACGAATGATACACGGATTCTTCGCTGTTCCTTTTTTCGTGTACTGAACGTCCTCCCTGTTTCCTCGATGTGTGTGTTTTATTTCAGGACATGCAAGTGTTTCGTATATGACATTACATTTATGCTCCGGTTCTATTTTGTCTTTCGAGTAGCTGTCTGAGTTTTCTGTTCGGTTTCACTGGTGTGTTCATATTGTGTTTTTTCATCGCCCTCTGCACTTTTTCTCTAAATCAGCTGACCGGACACGTCACAGCAACATCACGTGACCGCTCTGAAGAAGAGCGCTAGTGAGCCGTCCAAACTGTCAGGTATGAAACAAAACTCTAGGTCTGAAAAAAGAACCTCATAACATAAAATATTGGAAAACCAAATGAATCTCATTGGACTAAAGATGTCTAATATCAAGAATAAATCAGCATTACTATTGTTATCAGTAAAAGATATTTTGATGATTTGAACATTTGATTTGGTTTATAAAATTTGAAATCATATTCTTACATACTGTTCCTTTAAGTGAAATCTTGTGATGGTTTTCCAAATGAACAGTTAAAGCAGCTCCCATGTGAAGCATTTGGTCCTATCTCGCAATGCTACAGTCACTGAGCGATCCCGGTTTACAAAACGCCTTTTCCAGCAAACGCAGCGTTTCACATTATAGTTGGAAATACAGGTAGGATCATCATAAATACCAATAAATAATGTTTTGTTTTTTTTCCTAGTAGAGTCTGGCTGTGTTTTTGGCTTTGGGGCGTGTGTGAGATCTCCCTGTACTGTCCACACCTGAGAATGACCCACAGACACACAGAGCTCCAGGATGTGCACAGGGCGGACACATCGCAGAGCTGACTCGGCTCCAGGCAAAGAGAGGACTGCTCCAGCGCTGTACGTTTCAGGGGGAAACCGTAGCAGCAGCATGGAGAGAAGTACACGCAAAAACTCCAACGCAGTTATCATGACTTCAAATCAGGCTTTTACAAACACTGTGATCAGCTAAAATGAAGCAAAAAGAAATCATTTTTTCATAATGAACTCATAGTTTATTAAGAATGATTCAGGCGTTGTAACTACTAGGTTTAATAATGAACTCAACCACATCCAACCAAAAAACAGTCTCCTGGTGAAGTCCTGGTGTAGTCCTGGTTTAGAACTGGTTTAGTCCTGGTTTAGAACTGCTTTAGTCCTGGTTCAGTCCTGGTTTCAGTCCTGGTTTAGACCTGCTTTAGTCCTGGTTCAGTCCTGGTTCAGTCCTGGTTCAGTCCTGGTTTAGTCCTGGTTTAGTCCTGCTTTAGACCTGTTTAGACCTGGTTTTAGACCTGGTTTAGACCTGGTTTAGTCCTGGTTTAGACCTGGTTTAGACCTGGTTTAGACCTGGTTTAGACCTGGTTTAGACCTGGTTTAGACCTGGTACAGTTCCAGCCTCAGCTAAACCCTCTTCTGAAGGTTGGTCTCCTGAACATGTGAGACAGGCCTCTGCTCTGTTTCAGTCCAGACTCAAAACGCTTCAGTTTAGCCACATATGTCTGACTCTTCTGTGAACCTAACTCCTCAGCACAACTAAGCCTGAATCATTCTTAAAAAAAAGTTCAAAAGTTCATTATTAGTTTTTTTTAAGGCTGTGAGTCACGTCGATTTGCCTCATTTAGATTCAGAATGATGAAATATTAGGACAGTTGCCATAGAGATGAACAAATCAAAACTATATATTATATTTTTTGAAGGGGAATGAAGCTGAAACCCCAATACTATTTTATTCAAGTAAAATGATCTGTCCGTCAAACTAAATTTGTGGCTTATTTAGTGGACAGTGTGAGTACAGTTTTCTTACAGCAGGTATACAGTGGCTTAGATTGAAATGGTCATAAATAAACATTAAAATCAGTCCAAAAATCAAGCTTAACTAGATAAATCTAAGTCAAAACTATTCAAAACAAGATTCAAAAACTTGATTCAAGTCATGCTAACTGCTGTGGCTCTTCCTTTTTGCAGTGTATGAGAGACAGGACATTTGGACATGTGCACCGGTCACTCCCCTGTCCCCTTCACCTCCTCCTGTGCGCTGGCGCCCTCTGCTGGCTGCTGGGGACGTGGACAGGAGTCAGTGCTAGTGTCAGGTGCGCTGTCAGGGGCAGTGTCAGGTGCGGGGTTAGGGTCAGGGCTGGGCTGGGGCATCGGGCTGCGGGGCCGGTGGGCTCGGGGGGTCCGGTGGGGCGGGCTGGAGCTCCTGGACCGAGTCTTCATGTGGACCACGGTGCTGTCGTCCTCCGAGCTGAAGTCAGAGCTGTCAGAGGAGCTGCTGTGGGGCTCCTCCGAGGGCAGCTGGATCTACACACACACACACGCAGAGAGAGAGAGGGTACAGTGTGAACAGTGTGTGCACAGGAGACTTGGAGCAGGCAGTCTGCTCAGGAGTGTGTCAGCAGAGTTCCATTAAAGTAACTCGCAGGTCTTATATCAGGGGTCTCCAACCTGTAGTTCAGGAGCTCCCAGTATCTCTCCACTCACCTCCAAGTAGCTCACCAAGGGATTTCCTAATTACATGTACTGCGCTTCAAATCTGATGAATTATGATTGTACATGTATCATTTTGATGCCTAACTTGTGCACAAACAAATGGAAAATGGTTTATATTGAATAGGCATCTAATTGTCCCACGGCCAAAGCGTGCCATATCTCTTCTTGTTTCTCAGTTTTTTTGCAGCAGCTAAAATGAGTAGCTCACTGGCATTTTTGTTTCATGAGTGTCGCTCACCAGAGGTTGGAGACCCCTGTCCTAGATTATATTTAAAACAGGACAAAAGTAAAGTAAAAGTAGTAAAGCAGTATTTGTGTAAAAACTTTTCTATGTTAATCCATAGAAAAGTTTTACACAAATACTAAAAGTATTAGTAGTAAATACTAAAGCCTCTTGGAGTGGACAAACATCTTCAACTTGGAATCTGGTCCAAACCCAGAAAAAGTCTCAGAGAATGGGACAAGGACTCCCCCTGCTGGCACACACAGAAAGTTTCCATGTGATGAAGAGAGACGTGAGGGAAGAGTCTGGAGAAGTTGTGTGGACTGGCTTATTATGCTTTTTCAGGTAACAAGACCAAAAGTACAACATCATTTTCAGTGTTGGGGAGTAATAGATTACATGTACTGGAGTTACGTAATCAGAGTACAAATTATGAGTAACTGTATTCAGTTACAGTTACTGTTTTAATGAGTAGTAATTGGAATAAAACCAGTGTCTAAACCAGGTCTAAACCTGGTCTAAACTAGGACTAAACCAGGTCTAAACCAGGACTAAAACCAGGTCTAAACCAGGTCCAAAACCAGGTATAAACCAGGACTAAACCAGGACTAAACCCAGGTCTAAACCAGGTCTAAAACCAGGCCTGAACCAGGACTAAAACCAGTACTAAAACCAGGACTAAACCAGGTCTAAACCAGGTCTAAAACAGGATTTAACAGGACTAAATCCTGCTGCGTGGACGTGTCTCCTCATCTTCTATCAATAATATTTTTAATACGGTTCAGTAAAGTCTGGGCTTTTTATTTTCTTCTTATTTTCTTAGCAGATAAAACATCTCATGTGAAGATTTCCTCGTCTTTGCTTCTCTACAGCAAATCAAGTAATCCAGAGTATTCAGATTACATTACTCACTTTAAGTAATTTAATGGATTCCGTTACAAACTACATTTTGGGGTGTGTAATCTGTAATCTGTAGGGGAATACATTTTAAAAGTCACCTTCCCAACACTGATCATTTTACAACTTGTTCATAGAAATGACCATCCATCCACTGACCTATTGTAAATGTATTATTTTATGCCTAATTTTGTGCACTGATAAACAGATACTGGTTTATGTTTTATAGGCATCTAACTGTTCCTCTTCTAAGGTTCGCCGTGGCTTTTATTTATGCTCAGTTTCTTGTGACCTCTGAAACTAGTCGCTCTCTGGCATTTTTGTTTTGTAAAAGTAGCTCACCGTAGGAAAAAGGTTGAAGAGCCCTGTTCTGAGAAGAATAACTGACAGAAGAGTTTAGATTCTGCTTGCTCTGCTCCTGCTCCTCTGGTTCTGACAGGTCACATTGGTCACAGAGTCTCATGTGGGAGAAGAGCACTACGCACATGCTCACTACGCTCCACAGCCTCCACACACACACTGAGCCACTGACGCTCTCACTACACACACCACTGACCACTGCCCTTTCACTTAAACCGACGGCCGCGTATAAGACCCGGGGTGACAATCTAAGACATAGACAAACTTTATCGATCCACAATAGAAATGATTTATCACTGAATGTCAGAACATGTGAGAACTTTACGGTCAGAGGTGAGGAGCTGTGACCTGATACACTGACCCCACAGACACGAGGAGTCGCTCAGAACTCACCAATAATCACTCATGAGAAGCACGACTCACACCACACCTCCCAAAGTCTGAAACACACTGGAGTGTGCCTGCTTTAACACTGAAGTGTACAATAGTGTGTACTGGACAGTGTGTGGTTGACAGTGTGTAGTGGACAGTGTGTGGTTGACAGTGTGCAGTGGACAGTGCAGTGTGCAGTGGACAGTGTGTAGTGGACAGTGTGTAGTGGACAGTGTGCAGTGGACAGTGTGTGCAGTGTGTGTTGACAGTGTGTAGTGGACAGTGTGCAGTGGACAGTGTACAGTGTGTAGTGGCAGTGTGCAGTGGACAGTGTACAGTGTGTAGTGGACAGTGTGTAGTGGACAGTGTGTAGTGACAGTGTGCAGTGGACAGTGTGCAGTGGACAGTGTGCAGTGGACAGTGTGCAGTGTGTGGTTGACAGTGTGTAGTGGACAGTGTGCAGTGGACAGTGGGCAGTGTGCAGTGGACAGTGTGCAGTGGACAGTGTACAGTGTGTAGTGGACAATGTGCAGTGGACAGTGTGCAGTGTGTGGTTGACAGTGTGTAGTGGACAGTGTGTGGTTGACAGTGTGCAGTGGACAGTGGGCAGTGTGCAGTGGACAGTGTGCAGAGGTTGTACCTGGAAGGGCTCTGTTACCCCTACGATGGAGTTCATGTTGTTGCTATAGTAACCCAGGATGAAGTCCCCTGAGCCTTTCGGCAGCTCCTCCTCAGTGAACGACACCTGACACAAACACACACATAATGCCACATCATTAAGGCTCTCCAGAGATGTCATCGCTTTGCCTGGAATATTCCACAGTATGACATTAAACTGATTTTCTGGAGTCACTTACTTATCTTCATGGAGATAGATATGTTTAATGCCATACTGTGGAACACGCCAGGCAAATCAATAACATCTTTATGTAGACAAGTGTAGGTGGAGCCAGTGAGGTTCATTTGGTCTTTGTTTCAGACCATGATGATTGTGAGTGAACAGAATCTCAAAGAAGACCTACAGTGGTTGTGTTTGCTATAGCTCTAAATCTCTGACCCCTGTGGATCATTATGTTATCATCAGACATTATGACACACATTATCAGACATTTTAAATCACAACTAAAACTACTTAATAAAAGAAAAAACTCCACAGAAAAGTACATGTTGCAGAATAGGTCTGATTTAAAGGTGTACCATATAAGGTCTGCTTTAAATAAATATGGCTTAAGACAAAAGTGACATCTAGAGCACATACACAGCCAAATGTGTCATTTTAAACTAAAGCTAAAGTGTCCTGTACCTGGTGCTCCTGTCGGTGGAAGTCGTTCTCTTCTTGTTTGGCCCACACGTAGCCCACATAGTCTTTGTGGTGTTTGAAGCCCACCTGCAGCACACACACACACAAACACACACTCAGTTTTCATGTATCGATACTAAAAAGAGTCCTTTTTACCGGACAGAAATGAAACTTTCCCGAATAGCATTAAATTTGAGCTGGATCAGAACAAGTGTCAGAGCACATAGACTAGAACACACATGGACCAACATGAACCTACTGCACCACTGACCATTACACACATATATAACGACATGGGAATAGAAAACAATATCATTTCATGTTGAAACCTCGGTACCTTGTAGAGGCCGATCCAGTCCCAGGAGCTGCGGGAGTAGTTGGGGGTCAGTCTGAACTTGGCTGTGGCATCAGCGACACAGTTCCACTCGTCCTCCACGATCAGAGTGACCAGAGGCACGTCCACTCTATACGGAAACTGCACACAGCAACACAGACACACAGGAGGAGTGAGTGTGTGGCTTCAAGAACATGTCAGCACTGTGCCCGCTCAGCACAGGCCAGCCCCCCGCCCTCTGACCCACCCCTCTGACCCTCCCCTCTCACCCGCCCCTCTGACCCGCCCCTCTGACCCTCCCCTGACCCTCCCTCTCACTGATGACCCCTCACTTGCTCACCTGCCCCCTGCCTCTGACCCGCCCCTGACCCGCCCCCTCTGACCCGTCCCTCTGACCCCCCTCTGACCCGCCCCTCTCACCCGCCCCTCTCACCCGCCCCTCTGACCCGCCCCTCTGACCCCCTCTGACCCGTCCCTCTGACCCGTCCCTCTGACCCTCCCCTCTCACCTGCCCCTCTGACCCGCCCCTCTGACCCGCCCTCTGACCCTCCCCTCTCACCCGCCCCTCTGACCCGCCCCTCTGACCCGTCCCTCTGACCCGTCCCCTCTCACCCGCCCCTCTCACCCGCCCTCTGACCCCCCTCTGACCGTCCCTCTCCCTCCCTCCCCCTGACCCTCCCCTCTCACTTGTTCCTCTGACCTGCCCCTCTGACCTCTGACCCCCCTCTGACCCGTCCCCTCTCCCCCGCCCCTCTCACCCACCCCTCTGACCCGCCCCTCTGACCTGCCCCTCTGACCCGTCCCTCTCACCCGCCCCCTCTCACCCGCCCCCTCTCACCCGCCCCTCTCCCCCGGCCCTCTGACCCGCCCCTCTGACCTGCAGAGTGAAGATGGCCGACACGGGCTTGTGGTCACTGACGGTGTACTCCATGTGGCTCTTGTAGTAGTGTTGGGTGACACGGGTGCCGCTGGTGAGCCCGGATATGGAGCTACGTTTGCCCCCCGTGCCGACCGGAGCCGTGGCCCTCAGACGCCACAGGATGCGGTCAGTCCAGGCCGGTTTGCGCTTTTTCCCACTGCACGTGAACACACCACCGTGAGCAGAGAACACTTAACATGGAGTAACATTTAAGAGCTCGAAACATGGAGTAACATTTAAGAGCTCGAAACATGGAGTAACATTTAAGAGCTCGAAACATGGGTAACATTTAAGAGCTGAAACATGAGTAACATTTAAGAGCTCGAAACATGGAGTAACATTTAAGAGCAGGGCTGTGGTGTCCAGAGGCTGCTGTGAACCTTTGAGTGCTCTACAGAGGAGAATATGTTATTGTCAGTGTTGGGAAGGTGACTTTTAAAATGTATTCCCCTACAGATTACAGATTACAGACCTCAAAATGTAGTTTGTAACATAATTCATTAAAGTACTTAAAGTGAGTAATGTAATCTGAATACTTTGGATTACTTGATATTGTTATGCTTTTTAAAACTACATGAATGTATCGACCACATCCTGAAAATTCTTGTTTGTTCTCTTCAAATTGGCTGAGCCCAAGTCTCCATGAATAAGAAACTGTTTGCTGCAGAGAAGCAAAGACGAAGATCTTATATAAGATAAGTCTGCTTAAAGATAATAAAAAGCCCAGTCTTTCCTTAACCGTATTAAAAATATTATTGATAGAGAAATGCTTTATATATGAGATCACTGGTTTAGCCCTGGTTTAGCCCTGGTTTAGACCTGTTTAGACCTGGTTTAGACCTGGTTTAGACCTGGTTTAGACCTAGTTTAGACCTAGTTTAGTCGTGGTTTAGTCCTGGACTGGGTTAGTCCCGGTTTGAGTCCTGGTGTTAGTTCCGGTTCAGAGGTGCACAGGAGGAAGTGTGGTCTACGCAGTGTACGCGAGAAAACACGATCCACTCGCAGCGCACGGGAGGACAGCAGTGTCCACGCAGCAGCTACAGAAGGAGACGTGGTCCACGCATTCTCAGGTTGATGATGATGAAGAAGGTGTGTGTTAGTGTGTGTGTGTGTGTTTGTGTGTGTTTGTGTGTGTGTTTGTGTTTGTGTGTGTGTGTGTGTGTGTGTGTGTGTGTGTGTGTGTGTGTGTGTGTGTGTGTGTTTGTGTGTGTGTGTTGTGTGTGTGTTGTGTTGTGTGTGTGTGTGTGTGTGTGTGTGTGTGTGTTTGTGTGTGTTGTGTGTGTGTGTGTGTGTGTGTGTGTGTTTGTGTGTGTGTGTGTTTGTGTGTGTGTGTTGTGTGTGTGTTTGTGTGTGTGTGTGTGTGTGTGTGTGTGTGTGTGTGTGTTTGTGTGTGTGTGTGTGTGTGTGTTTGTGTGTGTGTGTGTGTGTGTGTGTGTGTGTGTTGTGTGTGTTTGTGTGTGTTGTGTGTGTGTGTGTGTTTGTGTGTGTTGTGTGTGTGTGTGTGTGTGTGTGTGTGTGTGTGTGTGTGTGTGTTGTGTGTGTGTTGTGTGTGTGTTGTGTGTGTGTTTGTGTGTGTGTGTGTGTGTGTGTGTGTGTGTGTGTGTGTGTGTGTGTGTTGTGTGTGTGTTTGTGTGTGTGTGTGTGTGTGTGTGTGTGTGTGTGTGTGTGTGTGTGTGTGTGTGTGTTTGTGTGTGTGTGTGTTTTGTGTTTGTGTGTTTGTGTGTGTGTGTGTGTGTTTGTGTGTGTGTTTTGTCCTCCTGTCTCAGGTCATTATAGGACAGTAGTGCAGATATTATGAATCTATGCAGTTTGTTTTCATCAGTGCCAGTAGCTCCAGTTTGACATTTAAGTTGTAGGCGATTTTATATTTGTTATTTTCTTTTAATTCTCACGTCGGGAGAAGACTCGTCCAAGACACGAATGGGTTTTTACCTGTGCACTGCTGCCTCTGTTCTACTGGCTCTTCGACCTCGTCCATCGTGTGACTGACGCTGCCAACGTTAACATGACGTTTACATCGCTGTTATTGCGCACGTTCTGTTTGGGTTTCCAGCAATGAGTGAAATTATCGAAATAAATAAATAAATAAATGAGATGTTGCACAAAATGTGAAAACAGGAAAATACTGCCATGTAATCCATTTATTTCAGCAAACTGAACTAACTGTAATCCAATTAAAACTCATTGAAACAGTAACTGTAACTGAATACAGTTACTCATAATTTGTACTCTGATTACGTAACGTCGGTACATGTAATCTGTTACTCCCCAAACACTGGTTATTGTGAAGAGATCGACAAGAGCAAATATGTCTGAAACATCGCTATGTCAGACTAAATGTTTGTATTTACCTTTCGTATGTTTTTAACTAATACATGACCAGTTAACACAACTCATTTTAAAGCCAAAACATTGACTAAAATAAAAACACATTATTTTTTTCATTTGGTTGTTTGCTGCACTGAAAAACCTGCGTCTTTACCATGAGCGTGTTTGCACCTCCACAGACCTGACTCTTATTTGCCCTTGAGAATGGAGAATGTTGCAAAGTATGGCTTTAACTTTATTTCCATGTCATGCAGGTGACAGGCCCCCTCCAGAAAATGACATACTGTTGCTTTAACTATCTTGCATGTGTAGCTTCTATTAACATGGTTTTAACAAATTGTTGTTCTTAATCATGTCCAGAGACGTAGAAATTATAGCAAAAGAAATTGCTGAGCTCCTTAATTTTGATGATCTCTTGATTTAGATTTCTGACTTGATTTGGTGGATAGCACCTGTACTAAATATTTATCAGTTTTACATCAGTTAAGTGACAGTTTGTATCCAACCCGTGTAAGTAATGAAAACTACAATATTAAGACGTTTAGATGCCTTAAATCTTAAATAAATGTATATTAACTAACTAAGCAAATAATAAATGTGTAGTTTCACCTGGTATAGTAGTTGAACCTGTCACATGCACTGTTTGTATCACAAATAAACAAAGACAGAGTAATGGTGTCCTGCTCTCAGCCTCCGCACTGACCTGGTGTCGTACGTGTCTGTGCCCACATCAAACTTGTACGTCGGGGGAAACTTGAGCGGCCCCTCCTGGAAGCCCTCCAGTACTGTCTCACTGTCTTTGGCCATGTTCAGCTGTAAACAGGACATCACACTGTGTCAGCACCACCTGCGCCCTCTGCTGGTGCTCTGACAAACCGCACTCTACCTGATCCTTCTCCCACAGAGTCGAATATTTGTTGTTGTCTATGGCTGATTTCACCACCTGCATGTCCAGGTCATCAATGCGAAAGTTCAGGTCCCCAAACCAGAACACCACACTGTGAAAACACACAAAACACACACTGTACTGAAGGAAGCAAGGATACAATGATACAACATGCACAATAACTAACTAAAGGGGACTAAAGGGAGAGTGGAAGGGGGGCTCAACATTGCTGGCTCCACCCCTGTAGCCAGCAATGTTGGGAGTAACGCATTATAAAAGTAACGAATTACTGTAATGCATTGCTTTTTGTTTTAACGCAGTAATGTGGCATTACAGGGAAAAAAACTAATATTTTACTCAGTACAAATGTCAGTAATGCATAGCATATTAACCTGCATTGAAATGGTGGGTTTTTCTTTTTTTTTTTTTCATGCAAATTCGCTTCACAAATTCGCAAATTCGGAATTTGCAAATTCATGCAAATTCCAATATCAGCAGCAGTGAATCGCTGGAGATGCGCTCGTGTAGACCTGTCAGGTAACTGCGGGTGAAAGAACCGGCCCAGAACTCCATGCTCCACGGGGTTAACCACAGCTGATGCCCGACTGCGCGTCTAGTCCAAGATTAGTCTTGGTTTGGTCCTGGTTTAGACCTGGTTTAGTTTTGGTTTAGACCTGGTTTAGTCCTGGTTCAGCTCTGGTTCAGCTCTGGTTTAGTCCTAGTTTAGTCCTGGTTTAGTCCTTGATTCAGTCCTTGTTTAGACCTAGTTTTATCCTGGTTCAGTCTGGGTTAATCCTGGTTCAGTCCATATATGGGGCAAAAGTTCAGCATCTTTGCAGTTATTTTGGTGAGAGTAACTTAAAAGTGCTGCAATAGTCATTTAAATGCAGTAATATTGTAATGTAACAAATTACTTTGAAATGACAGTAACAAGTCATAAATAACATTCCAGTTTTAAAGTAACTTGCCCAACAGTGGTAGCCAGGTGCTTGTATCACCTGTACTTGAAACACCTGTCTGTAGTCAGGGCAGTCCTGAGTGATGTCACCAACTACTGGAAATTATAGAAGCCACTGGAGGCAATGGGCTGGGGGAGTGGTAGATACTTGTGAAGGGAGTCTGTATATGTTTAATATATGTCTGGCTGTTTCTGTTGAATGCCTCTTGTAGAAGCCGTTACATGCACTAATACTTATGCAGTCTGTGTTCTCTGATAAGTCTTATCTGAACTGCAACCATCACAATCATAAATTCACATGTATAGGACATTGTGTGGACTCACTCGTGGTCCAGCACTCCTGTGGCGGCCTGGCCCTCAAACTGCTGCTGCTGGAGGATGCTCTCGAAGTCGTCCATGCGCTGCTCCGAGTTCTCCATGTGCGCGGGCAGGTGACAGTTCAGGAAGCACAGAGTGTGACCAAACACTGACATACGAGCGCTCACTCCACCTTTGTTTCCCTGGACAAGAGAGGAGAGACAGTGAGACAGGACAGGTCAGAGACGACAGGGAAGAGAGGACAAGATAGGAGAACAAAAGAGCTGTACACCACTTTTTCAGTGCCATAACTGTTCTGATCTCTTCTGCTTAGCAGGGTGGGGCTTGGTTAGTTCTTGGCTGAGAGAGTGATGTGAATACAGGAGCCACAGGGGGGCAGCAGTGGCTCTAGTGCAGGTTTAGCCAGTAGCAGACTTACAACAGATCAACTAATAACAGTTTAGTTTGAATGTAATAAAATGAGGCTGATCTACTGTGGATACACATGACACTTTACTTGGCCATTGCCCTTTTGGTACCAGAAACCCACTTCATACTTGAGCTAAACTTGAACATGAACAAAGTATTCACACACAGGATCCTTCATGTTATTACCAGGCGATATATTCTGATCAGATTTTCATTTCACTCACATGCACCTGTAGTTTCAGCTGCATGTGTTAACTAAAAATATCAATTTAAATATAGGCTTTCTTTGTTTTTTATACAGCTTTTTAATGTACACTCATAATTAGTAATAGTAATAGTAATAACAGAAATAAAGAATATCATCTGTAAACTTAACTCCATGTTTCTACGTATGCACAGTTTAGTTAAAGGAGAAGGTACAGTAAAGTGGGTAACTGCTACAACAGGAGTAATGACAATCTTTTAGCTGTGATGAGACAGTGGTGTGGTGAGTGGTGAGAGCACAGCCCTGTGCATAAGACAGAATACAGAATATATAATACATGCTGCATGTGGAGGAGAGCTCATAGATCACTTGTGGTCACTGTGTGACTAATAGACCAGTCATCATTTGTCTGATCGGACTATTGGGAGAGATCATAACGTGTGAAAGTGCGTAAAGAATGATCTGAAAATACTAATATATGAGTCCTGCATACTTCTTCCCATTGTCCATCTCTAATATTCAAACTGACAAACAAAGGTAGTTTACAAAGTGCTGCACATAGTGAAATTAAATCTATTCACAAACATAAGAGAAATAACAGAGTAGAAAATAAAACAATAAAAAAGCAGAAATAAATAAAATCAATTAAAGCTAATATGAAGTCTCAAGACACAAAACCTTAGAGCAGGTGTACATCTGGCTGCTTGTTTTATCTCGAGTGTGTGTGTTTGTGGCTAAAGCAGTAGTGGGTAAGTAACTGTAGTATTGTGCAGCCTCAGATTACAAACATATTCTGTAAATGATATTGTACCAAAGACATATTATTCCCAATAACAGTGAGAAAACATTAGTTTAGATGAGTGTTGGACCTGACTGCCCAGTCTCTGCTGCCGCCCTCTGGCTCCCCCTGGTGGTCAGCTCCTGCTCATTATTTGTTTAACAAAGCAGAGGTCAGAGGGCGTGTTGTACCAGTGCAAAGACAAACTCTGTTATCTTGTTCAAACTGTAGATATCCACATGACTGTGCACCCTCTCCTGACCTCCGCTGCACTCAGGACTTCCTCTTTTCAGATACACAACACTGTTCTACCTGTTGTGACAATCCTACTCACATAACCAGTCACCAGTACACTCTTTTCTGTTGGATTGTGTTCTTACTCACCTGTTTCTGTTTGAACTTGTTCTGTACAGTGTCCTTGGGGGTTTTGAAAGATGCTTATGAATAAAATGTATAATAATAATAATTATTATTAAACATATGATGATAATAATGATTTTCCTGACATAAACAGAAATTCTTCACTCTAATCTGACCTTATATATATCTTATATGATCTTATGTCTTCTATATATTATATTTCAATGTAGTAACAAGTGGTTCTCAGGATATTTTTCTCTTCTATTTTTTACTTCCTATTTGTGTTTCAGTTTGTTTGCATGAAGGGTTTGAAAGTGCTGGTCCTGTTTTAGTTGTTATTAAATGAAACATGACTTAGTCTTTGATTAGACCGAGGTGAGACCTGGTTTAGTCTCTAGTTTAGTGTTTGTTTCCTCATTTATTGGGCGTTTAGTCCTTGTTCAGACCAGTTTTAATCCTTGTTTAGACCTTTACCATTTAGTTGGTATCATCATCATTACAGACAGCTGGTGTGATGGTCGTGTGCTCTGCCCCCGTCTCATCACTGTCCTCCAGGCTGTGCTGAGCTGCTGTGTGTGTGTGTGTGTGTGTGTGTGTGTGTGTGTGTGTGTGTGTGTGTGTGTGTGTGTGTGTGTGTGTGTGTGTGCGTGTGTGCGCGTGTGTGTGTGTGTGTGTGTGTGCGTGTGTGTGTGTGTGTGTGCGTGTGCGTGTGTGTGCGTGCGTGTGTCCATGCGTGTGTGCGCATGTGTGTGTGTGGTGAGCCGGTAAGCGTGTGTGTAGTGAGCAGCTGTGTGTGTGTGTGTGTGTGTGTGTGTGTGTGCGTGCGTGTGTGTGTCCATGCGTGTGTGCGCATGTGGGGGTGTGTGTGGTGAGCCGGTAAGCGTGTGTGTAGTGAGCAGCTGTGTGTGTGTGTGCACGTGTGCGTGCGCGTGTGCGCGCGTGTGTGTGTGTGGTGCTTCTCACCCAGTAGCCCCCGAGGCCGGTGCGGGTGGTCTCCGTCTGGACTCCGCGCAGGAAGGGCAGATGGAAGTACTTGGCAAAGACGAGCAGCAACACACCCTGCATCCTCTGGGACGTCACCTACAATTACAAACACACACACACACACACACACACATACACATACACACACACACACACATACACACACAAGACATGAGAGGATTAACTGTAGTGCTTAAACTGTGGCAGGTGGAGATGTGAGTGACGTGAAGATAGGAGAAGAGGAAACGTGTGTTATGGGAAAAATCACTTGTCTTGACACTGGTGAAGAGGAGGAGATGGAGAGGCTGAGGAGGCTGATGGTTCTGCTGGTTGGAACTGAAATGGCTAAAATGTAGCAAATTTTATAACCCTAATCATTTATGAATTTATTTTAGAAATGATTACATCTGCAAGTGTTTGTCTGAGATGATTGAAAACGACAATGCGTCACTAGGGGCAAAGTCGTCCTGGACCCGTCTGTGAAACTTTAAGATACTTATTTTCTGTTTGTTATATTAAGTGTAAGTAATTCTTCTCTGAATCCTGAGCACAGTAGACACCACTGCAGGCAAATGAGTTAGCCGTTAAAATTTGATTATCAACAACAGTCTCTCTTCTAACTTTGAATTTGCGTGTGAGTGAATGCAAACGGCGTTGTGTGATGATGAAGGCGTGTCCTGGAGTAGTGACGAGGACTGTACAGGCTGAGTACATACAGTCACGTCCTGTGTGTGTGGACCACTGGCTCGTCCATTAGCCCTGCAGCACTCTCCCACCACAGCACCACGGACATTAGCAGAGAAAAGGCCGGGCTGCGGTGCGGCTTTCACACACCACAAACACGCATCACGTTACGACGCAGCAGAATATCCACCATATCTGACATGAAGTAACATTATTACTCTACTCAATATGTGGTCCTTTGGTGAGGCCGTATCAGACAGACATGCTCAGCACCACTGACTCCAGCCACTCATGTGAAACAGTTCTGCACATGTGCTAATCAATAACTAGTATCTGTGAGTCTCTGTTTTGTAAGTCTCAGGTCTTTGGCCTCAGGTTCCAGGTTCAGTGGGCCACAAGTCAAGTCCAAGATGTTTGTACATCTTGTTTTTGTAAATGGTCATTTCATTCTTGGTCACAAACAGAGATGTCTCTATACAGCTGATGTGGCTTTACAAAGACAATTTTTCTATTTTTAAAAAGCATCAAGTCGTCTTTAGACAAAGTTAATAAATGGATGATGTAAAATGTTCTTCAGTTCCATGAAAATAAAACTGAGAAGAATCTATTTGGAAACAAAGAAAAACAGCACTTTCACTCTGATTGTGAATCCTGAGTACGATAGGAAACACGTGGGGACTTGCAGGCCGTGACTTGGACTCCAGTCAGACTTGAGTCACTATTTTCAGTACTTGAGACTTGACTTGATAAAATTGGACTAAGACTTGTGACTTGACTTAAGAAGACTTGATGCTTCTCCTAAAATAATATGTTTTTATAAAATACTTTTCTCTACAGTTGATAAATGCGGAGCTGAATTTTACAGGAACAAACTGGGACATGTCCCTCCCACTTCTGTTTGGTACTTTGGATGGAACTGAAGTACTGTGATACACTGTCCTCAAATGTACTACAGTAATATACAGTACAATACAGTCAAACAGAAGGAACTACATAGAACATGATCCTTCATGACAAAATCTGTTAATTAGCACATTCAAATCTGAATTTGTATTCTGACTGTATGATGACCAGTGATCCACACTAAAATTATGACTTGGAAAAATGTGCATCTGTACAACTCTTATATTGGTGGTTTTCAGATTCTAGAATATGACGATGTCATAATCTCAAATGCGAGGGCAAGGGACAGATTTCCCCACTGACCACATTATACTTTACCATAAAATATCCAAATGTTAAATCTGTTAATTCAACTTAAGAACTCACTGTATTACAACAAAACTCTGTATTTAAACAGTATTCATTTTAGCTTCCGCCCTCTGTATTGGCCTATAGAATGTTGTGATGTCATCTTAAACCAGCAATAGTTACTCATGTATAAATATTATAGGGATGGGCATGATTAGTCGACTAATCGATAATTGATCATTAAGAATTTCGTCGATTACGTTCATTTCTAATCGACAAACCGAATGTAGTTTTTTGTGGTAAATATGAAGCTGTGTCTGACACAAACACTGGAGTTGCAGCCTCACAGTCCCATGTTTTGGCTCTGGCTCCTTGGAGACACTGTACCACTCAGTGAGTGTGTTTACATGCACATCTGTGTCCCGGTTTTGTCTTGGTGCATGTAAACGCAGTATCCCGATTACTGCAACATAAAGAGCTGCGCAAAACCTGCACATATACGATCTTTGAAAACATCACGACACACAGAACAGACTCACCATCAGCATCAACATCCCTCTGTTACACAAAGAACACTCATATGCCACTGAGTTGTGCCCTTTAGTCCGACAAAAGTTGAACCGCATCAGCGCACAAGAGCGTTTTTTTTTTTTCTTCGCTTAGTTTATGCAAATGAGCCATGTGGTTTTAAATTTTGTTTCTGTGAGACTTGCACAAATCTGCATTAAACACATTCTAATGTCAAACGGGCTGATGTGGCTCTAGAATGTTTATGTTTTATATGTTGTAAAGTTGAGTTTATTATGCAAATTAGTAATAGTAATAATAATGATAATCATGATACTTATTATATAAAAACGTTAATGATTCGTCGAAAATCTATCGTTAATTCTCCCAACAATCGATTAATAAAATTTCATCAAATGCCCATCCCTAAAATATACCAGGACTTTTTAAGTACAGTTTAGCTTAAAAGTCATTTAAATTGAAAAAATAGAAGTTAGATTTAAAGACTTGAAAGGACTGAAAGCTCAAAGCAGACGACTTGGACTTGACTTGGACTTACAGGTCAGTGACTCGGGACTCAACTTGGACTTGCCGATCTTTGACTTGAGACTTGACTCGGACTTGAGGTCAAAGACTTGAGACTTACTAAAGACTCACCAAACAACGACTTGGTCCCACCTCTGCTACAAGACGCGGAGCTCACTGTTGACATATAAACTCAATCACTAAAACATCCTCTATATTTATGAACAAAAATATCTGTCTACAAACAACTCCATGAGCACTTAAGATAATCCTGCTCCTCTCCATTCTTTCTGTTCTTCCTCATGTGAATACGTTACTGGCTGGGTGCTGGAGAGTTCAGTGTGCTTGTGCTGTATTGGTGTCAGTGTGAATCCATCTCCAGGAGCACTAGTCCATGTGAGCGTGCACTCGGCCCGCGCCCTCAGCTCACCACAAATAGGCCGTCCCCTTTACGCTTCACTACAGCGCGTTATGCAACAAAGTGACTCCAAGAGGCAGCTCCTCTCCCTCTGTGAGCGGCTCAGGGATGAAGCTGAGCCCGCTTCCACGTCAAATAACTCGCTCACTCCATTCACGCGCACGCCAGGAACACCGGATAACTGACCTAGTCCTATTTAAACCGATTTTTCCAAACGGAGGTAAACCCAGGAAACACACTTCAGCTGGTTTAAGTCTCTCAAATCCCAATAACACATCTGGAGAAGACAGAGAAGTACTTGGATACACGCTGCATGTAGTGTTGGGAAGGTGACTTTTAAAATGTATTCCCCTACAGATTACAGATTACATACCCCAAAATGTAATCTGTAACATAATTCATTAAATTACTTAAAGTGAGTAATGTAATCTGAATACTTTGGATTACTTGATTTGCTTTAGAGAAACAAAAACGAGGAAATTTTCACATAAGATGTTTTATCTGCTAAAAGAAAATAAAAAGCCCAGACTTTCCTTAACCGTATTAAAAATATTATTGATAGAAGAGTGAGGAGACATTGTCCATGCAGCATGGTTTAGTTAAATTCTATTTTAGTCCTGGTTCAGACCTACTTTAGACCTGGTTTTAGACCTGGTTTAGACCTGATTTAGTCCTGTTTTAGTCCTGTTTTAGTCCTGGTTTAGACCTGGTTTTAAACCAGGTTTAGACCAGGTTTAGTCCTGGTTTAGTCCTGGTTTAGTCCTGGTTTAGACCTGTTAAATCCTGGTTTAGATCTGGTTTAGACCTGGTTTAGACCTGGTTTTAGTCCTGGTTTAGTCCTGGTTTAGTCCATGTTTAGACCTGTTAAATCCTGGTTTAGATCTGGTTTAGACCTAGTTTAGTCCTGGTTTTAGTCCTGGTTTAGTCCTGGTTTAGTCCTGGTTTAGTCCTGGTTTTAGTCCTGGTTTTAGTCCTGGTTTTAGTCCTGCTTTCGACCTGGTTTTAGTCCTGGTTTAGACCTGTTAAATCCTGTTTTAGACCAGGTTGTAGACCTGGTTTGGACCTGGTTTAGTCCTGGTTTAGTCCTGGTTTAGACCTGGTTTAGTGTCCAGCAATGAGTGGAATCACCAAGAAAAAAAACAACAACAAAAAACAAAAAAAAGGAATATAGCCCAAAATGTGAAAACAGGAAAATACCTCCATGTAATCCATTTATTTCAACAAAGTAACTGTAATCCAATTACCACTCATTAAAACAGTAACTGTAACTGAATACAGGTACTCATAATTTGTACTCAGATTACATAATTCCAGTAGATGTAATCTGTTACTCTCCAACACTGGGTGCGTGTAACAGCTCAGTCTGGTTTCCATCTGGAGCAGGTCAGGAGAGGCGTTCAACTGCTCACAGTAAGAAACACACAGCAAAATGTGATCAGATATTTTAGATTTTAGATCAAAAAATTGCTGCCAAATTAGAGACTAGCTTGTGTTGCCTTATTGCACTGGTCTGCCACAATAAGACGACCTTTTGTTCTTGTGTGTGCTCTGTAGTTCTAATCTACACTGTAAACGTCACAACAGCAAAGCGCCGCACGCTGTGGGGCCCTCCTATGGACCCCTGCACATCACACTAGAACAGAGCTTTTATTTCAGTTGTACCAAAATGACGACACAACGCTGCCCAATCCTACAAGTATCACCCATTAAGAAAATAAAACTGGAGAATATATAAGTACGTCACAGTAGGCATGTACTGGTTCAAGTGAGA